TAGTTACAGTCAGAAAAAGAAATTATATCTTAACAGATCGAACACCTTTTGATATACAACCTTTAATCATGCATTTTTTTTTTTACCTCCTGATATGCCGCCTCCTTGTCTCTGAGTTTTCGTTCCAGCTTCCTACGTTCGTAAGCGTCCTCTTCATCTTCTTGGTCACGCTTCTTGTCCCTCTCCCGTTCTCTTTCTCTCTCCCTCTCTCTGTCTCGGCTCAATTCCCTTAAAAAAAAAAAAAAGAAAAAAGGTTTCGATACATTAGATTTTAATATCCCCTTAGATGACCATGTGTAATAAACAAGTTAAAAAAGTTAAAATCTTCAGAAAATGAATTGTCTGCACTGACTTAATGATTTACTTGATAGTTTCTTTGTCCATCAACTCTGATAAAACTGTACAAAATGTGTTCTATAAATAGAAACTGATAAAAGCCATTAAATACTGTGATAGGCAGGTTTAAGCAGCAACACAGCAACACTTTAAAATGGCACAAAACACATTTACACAAATGATTAGACTTTTAGATGCAGACTACAAATCAGACTATTTCAAATAAGAATCTCAACGTATTCAAGGTTCATACTGAACGTTTTACTTCACAAAAGTGTCCTTGGCTGTAACAGGTGTGCATCTATCTACGTCACCTTGATCGGCTGCGCTCGGCGCTCCGGTCACGGCTGCGGTCTCTGTCCCAGTCTCGCTCTCGTTCTATCTCCCTGTTCCTGCGGTCACGCTCTTTGTCGCGGTCTCTCTCCCTCTCCTGTTCCCGTTCCCTCTTCCTTTCTCTCTCGCGCTCCTTCTCCCTTTCGCGATCCCGCCGCTCTCTTTCCCGCTCTCGCTCTTTTTCTCGCTCCTTCCTTTCGCGCTCGAACTCCAGCCGCTCCTTCTCCCGCTTGTCTTTCTCCTCTTCGAGTTTCTGCAGAGCAAAACACACACAGGCTCAGGATTTGCCACTTGACATCCAGGAGGAATCTGCTGTAAGCTCTCATATGTACACAGATCAAGTGGTTTCCAGAGTTTGAGAGGTTTCCAAGAAACATGCCCTAATAACTATGAAGCCATAATCCTATCTGATGGCACAGAAGACTCCCACTCACAGAGAGACTTTCTGCATCTAAAGCAACATGGTGTGCTCTGTTGCTTCAAAAGGTGAAGGATAAAACTAGATTTTAGCAAGAATGTAACTGGAAACCACTCAAATAGCAGGATCTGTGGAACACATTTGACTTTTGGCATTCGTAACAACAAAATGCAGCAAATGAAAAATACTTTTTCTTCCTTAAGATCCCTTCTTTCAGGAAAAAAAGGAAAACAAAAAAAACAAAAAAAAAACAAAAACAAGAAACAGGCATCAGTCTTTGGTTAAACTAGTTGTTTGTGACTTACAGGTGTTGAACTACGGACTCAGGCCTTCGCTGCCCCTACAAGCCTTTTAAGTTAGGCCTGGGAGGAAAGCAGGTCACACGGTATATAAGGGAAAAACATTATGGGATTTTTGTCTTGCTTAAGCATCAACATAATCATCAACAATAGCCTTTCATTTAGTGGCTAACACCGCATTTGGAGTAGCTCTACATCAACAAATGAACATTAGTTACATTTCTGCACAGATATATGAAATTGTAGAAGCAGTCTTACCCCTGCAGAAGTCTTCAGCTGCTCTTCTTGACTATTCACACACACACACACACACCAACCATACAATTTAGCTGAATTACACACAAGGCTTTGAAGGCACTTCAGGAAAAAAACATTTATCTTACTTTGTGCTGTTATAGAAAGGAAACTGACAAACTGCAGCGAATAGACTAACAGAAAGCCTTGGGTGTAATACAAGTTGAAAAAGAAAACGTGACAAAATTGTGACCTTAACATCTAAAGGTGTTGTTTTTAAAGTGCATTACTTTACTATCCTGACATTAATTTGCATCTTTCATTGACTTGTCCTGTGCTCTACTCTCCATCCAGACATGAGATTGGTCTATTCTCTATGCAAAATTTGCTACCAAAGAACCATGACTTTCTGGATGTCTCTGTCCAGTTTTGATGCTTCCCAAACACCCCTACCTACAGCAATACACAGTCAGGTCTCCATAATCCTTAAAAAAGACATAAGGTCCTAAATGATTCTCGCATTCCTGCCAGATAACAGCAAAAAAAAAAAAAAAAAAAAGTCATGACGAAAGATGCACAGAGAAATTGGCTGGTTACTCTAATCCTACTTATAAGATGGTGGGCTACATAAAATTTCAACTCATGCCCTCTTTATTCAGAAACATTAGGTAAAACTTGTTGAGCTGCGTAGCTGTGTAATGTTGACTGCTCACCATCTATGTCTCATATGCACACTATTTTGCCTCCGATCTTACTAGAAATGACTAAAAACTTAATACCAGAAATTGTGAGCATTTTCCTAAAACTAATATTAAGCAAGACAAAGTTACTGTAGCCATTTTTAGTTGGGTTTTATTTATAGATACCTCTGTGGCAAAACCGGGAAGACTATTTGCAGATTCTAAGCGATGCAGAGAAGCATCTCTGAAACCTGTTATATTTTACAATAAGCGTTGTTGTGAAGACTGTTCAATTTATCCAGTAGTTGTGGGCCGGGGGAGAGAAAGGTATTTTTATGCTATTTGTAAAAGTACAAATAACATAAAAGTTATTTGTGTTATTTCAATTTAAAGATGAATTGAAATAGCAAACTAAAGGAAAAAAGAATCTGTGAACCAAAATCAGCCACAGAAACCATCTCTGCATCTCCAGTCATAAATTAGCAAAAACATTTGCCATCTGGCCTGTTTTCACCAAACTAGAACTACTACTAACTATTCCAAATGCAACATCACTCATCTAACTAAATACTGAACAAAAGGAAGAGGTAAAATAATATTTAAAAGAATGTTTTTCAGGAAAAAATGAAAAACTTATTGCAGTGTTGAGGTTTTTGTATTTCTTTTTTAACTAATGACACTAACTGTTATTCCTCTTTAGGGAGACAAAGGCTCAACAATGCCATGTTCCACAATAAAAGCCTGTTTTTCTTACTTACCTCTGTAAGAAGTACACTGATGTCCAGGTCTTTTGTTTTTGTTTCACTACATAAACATTATAGTTGAAAAAATATTCTTTAACTTCTATCGATGAGATCATGCTATAATTAAAGAGCTTTTATTTTTCATTTATATGAAGAACCATGTGCTTCTTTTATCCCTTTCCTCATAAATCTAACATTTATTTGGTATAAGAAAATAAATGCTATATTTATTTCCTTATATGATGAGTAGGTGAGAGAAAGAAAAGATTTCCTGACACACACACTCACTCACTCTCACACACATAGAGCACGTACCTCGTCAGTCTTCAGATCATCATACTGCTGTGGAGAGGGCGCCCCCACCTCACACGAGCATAATAAAGGTTACAGCAAAAGTCACTGCAGTGGTTACTGAGTCCTTGTGCTTCAACATGAACACCATTAAGACAGACCATCATTTATGGAGAACTTGCACAGGTTCACTGACTCTGGACATTTCCAGGGACCTGCCAATACATTCATGATTACGTAGCCAATATGTCATTTGTATTACCGTATATGATAGACTAAATTCAACCATTTTAGCCCTGGTCGCAAAGGAAGTGTGCAGTTGCCCCAATGCAAGTCCTCAAGAGGGGGACGCCCAGTATATGTATAAAGGAAAAGAAGGCTGATACTTACATCCTATCCTGGCAACTTTTTCCAAAGCTCTGAGATTCATCTTGCTTTAGTCACCATATGATCACTATCATAATGGTGGGGTTTAATGAATAGATTAGCTTTAATGTAACTTTACATTGTCTCCATGCATTTTGTGTAATGAATGAAGAAATGGATCTAGAAAAGGTCACACCTAAGAATTTCACTAAGGATTTTTTTTGCTAAGCTAAATGTGCAGTAATGCATATGGTGTAAATGTTTGGTGGAGCCAATTTGTGGATGCGGGTTACAGACATCAGTTCTAATTAAAATATGCCAACTCTAGAAGTGAACTACGTGAGAAACTGTTGTCCAAAACCTGTAATGTCAATTGCAAAATAAATGAAGCCACTTTACCTTGTGAGTGTCGCGAAATTTACTAATCTCTCTGGAAATCAGGTCCCGCTTGTCCTCCTCGATGTCGATGGTGTTAATGTCGTCCTATCGGAAGAGGGGGAAAAAAAAAAAAAAGTCTCAATTCCTAAACTGATATATTAATTAATTTCAAAATCCATGCCAAACAGAACAGAGTTTGGGTTTACCTCTTCTTTCTTTTCCTTTTTTCTCTTTCGCCTCTGAGCGTCGTCATCCTGCGAAGGCGCGTTGAGTTCTGCGGCGTATTCCCGCATCAATCCATCGATGGCGTCTTTCACTACCTGATCTCTTTTCTTCGTCTCCTCATCAAGAACCTCCACATCGTCACCTCCTTCTTCTTGTTCCTTCTTATTTTGCTGAAACACAAAATCATCCAAGCTTTATTATCGAGGCCCCCTCCAATTAAGACACTACAACAGACTATTTTATTTTGAGTGTGTATGCATGCATTTAAAAGTTAAATATGAAGTCATGTGCATGATACATTCTTGGAGTAAAGAATGGCTATTATTATTATTATTATTATTATTATTAACATGTCAAAACTAATTCACACCCCATTTGCTGTCTTCTTCTTGGCTTTCCACTCATCCAGCTGAGCTTTAGTCTTTGCGTCCACCTTCACCAGCAGGTTTTTGTCTCCAATCTGCAGGTCATGAAGCAGCCGTAGAGCTCGCAAGGTGGACTCCGGCTCTTTGTATTCACAAAAACCAAACGCTGCAACAGATAAGTTAATGAAACGAGATGTGAAAGCCTGAACAGACACAGAGGTTTAGGGGTTGAAAGCAAAATCCTAACCGAGAAACGAGCAACACCAAAGGCAGGTTAGTTGTACCGTCGGAAAAATGTGTTCAGGAAACCAAGACGTTCTTTAAAGAAAGCCATTAACTACGGATTTTAATGTTAATTGTACTGAACCTAAACTGGTTGCAGTACATTTTTTACTAATTTACTGTTTCTGGTGTAAAACTCCTTTGGCAACCTGAGCAGGTTTTGGGGCAACCAGGTGACCAGGAATACATGTTGTAAACTACAACAAGCAACAGTTTAACCCACAGTTCCAACAGATCTTTGCCAGATTTTATATTTATCTAGGATCAAATTTCTAGGATATCTTTTGGGCATTTGAGAACTAAATATTCACATTTTGTGTTGCTAAAAGCAGAATTGGAATTTGGACTTGGACATATCTTACAGGCATGTTATACATAGTACGAGAAAATAAGGCTGAACTACTCAACAACAACAACAACAAAAAATTACTTTTCCAAGACATAATGATGCTTGAATTCCTGAATTACCTTGAAGTTTTCCAGAAGCTCCTTGAACTCGTTTCCAGCTCAAAACAATACCACATTTCTGCAAAAGTGGGACAAAAGGAAAAATCCGTATCACAAAATAAGAAATATTGTATATTTATAAATACTACTATTTATCTGATAGATTGAATAAAAAGCTGAGCTCATCTTAAATGTTTCATTTCTTTTCTTCGTCTTACCGCCAACAACTGTCTGATCAGCATGTCTGAAGCTTTCTCCGATATGTTCCCTACAAACACTGTGGTTGTGGGCCCGCTGCTCTCCTCGTCCTTGGCTCGCATCGCAGAAAGGTCTTTCTTTGGAACAGGAGGCTTACTGACGACCGGAACAGAAGGAACCATAACTGCAGGGGCCGGGGCCATGATGCCCATGTGAACTGGGATCATTGGAGTTCCTAAAACAGGCAGAGGAAATGCATAAATAAAGCAGAAACAAAGCTGCAAGAACAAAATGTGTGTTAAGAAAAGTCATGAGAACATGCAAATCCAACAACACCCACCAGGATGCAAGTTTTTTTTGCTATCAGGAAGGGCAGTAAAACAATTCATTCCATGATAAAACTCTGTTTAAACAAAAATAAATCTATAACATCTGGAAACTCAGTCTCATGACTACATACAAAATGCAAATTTTTAATTGCTTTTTAAAACTGTTCTATTTCTTAAATTATGTGTGTGTGTGTGTGTGTGTGTGTGTGTGTGTGTGTGTGTGTGTGTGTGTGTGTGGGTGGATATGTTCTCCAGAGCCTTGCTAATGACCTAATTATTCTATTCAGGTGTGGTGCAGCAGAGGCACATCTAAAAGTTGCAGGACATCGGCCCTCGAGGACTGGAGTTTGACACCCCTGCTTTAAAGGTAGGTCAAATTTTAAATTAGTCTGAATGGAGAGCCCCATAGTTATCCTAACATGTAAAAATGATATTCTTATTGTTTATTTGATAACCTTCTCAATAAATTGAAAAAAATAAATTGGCTGCTGATCATTTTGTTCCTTTACAACAACCTTGTAGTTTCTGTCATTTGAAGATTTTAAGTAATTTGCTCTAGTGTACTGTAAGGAAATGAAACTGTTATGTGACAATTAGTAATACATGAGATTGGTGAGAACAGGAAGAACCATTTCAAGACAATTTAACTCCATTGTTCCTACAGAAAAATAATTTAGATACTTAAGTGTAAGTACACTGCTATAAACTGGAAGTAGAAAGGCACATGGTTGAGTTATAAGTTGGTGAAGGAACAATATTTCATCAGGGGTGACCATTGTGATTCAACTAAGCAAAAATGAAAATAACTGGCTTAATAAAAAATTTTGTTTGTTATTTGTACCATATCGAGAGGAGGTCGATTACTATTTTTTGCGTTTTCCAGTAGCACCAATCTATTGTACTCATTTTAAAAGAATTACACAAAAATCAACGTTCCATACATAAATGTAGCTGATTACCTGAGGGGAAGCCAGCATACTGATGAGGTATCCCAGGAGGGGGCAACAGCGGCCGGTTTAAATGAGGGGGGAAGGACATTCTGAATGTGGTTATGACCTAAAAAGCACAAACAAACACCTTTAATCATGTTATCAATTGTGATTATTTAGACTTTATATATAAATATATCAATATTATACAGTAATTGTGTCTACATTAGTTTGTAACGTTTAGGGCACACAAAAAGAAACACTTCCTGCTATATTACCTCAATGTTTAACCAGAAATCGGCAATGAATTTTATTCGACTCAATTGGAAAATTACTTAAAAATAGGTACGTTTATCTGGAGGGTATCAACTAATTTAATGCTGTGAAGTCCAAAGCTTCATAAACTGCTAAGTAAATTTGAGCGTGGCAACTAAAAACAAGCAGCTAAGTTGGCTAAAGCTAGCACTGAGCACGTTCCTACACCCGGCACAACTACATAATGCTAACCTGACATTAGCCTCAGTCGCCCTTATCTAATTTACAATACTGGCTTTTAATCGGCTAAAAATACGTTTTAAAAAACTCAAATGTAAATGTATACATACCACAAAACCAAGTGGCGCGCAGTAAGATAAAATCCACTATACAGAGTTTAATTATGGTGATAATTCCGCCAACGTTTAGGACGTTAGATTAGCACTGCTGCTAGCCGCGGCCTTCAAATATCACTTTCGCGCATGCGCTCTGCGCACCGGGGTAAGTGCGTTTATTTTGTGTATCAGGATGTGGCTGTTCAGGCGGAGGGTATTCCACTTCCCACCGTGGTGGACAACATTTTGTTTCCAGTTTGGTAAAGTCATCAAAAGGTCACCCACACATTTAATTGGACTGTATTTTTTAACAAACAGTTTTACAAGGAGAGCTTTCCAAATTACACGAATTCACAGCGGAAGACACTTACAAAGCAGCGGTCCCAACCCTTCTTGTCCCTCAGCACGCAACGCATAAAAATGTCAAAAATCTCAAAATAATAGAATCCCAAGTTCATTTAAAGTCAGTAAAATTAATTCCAATACAATCCAAACCATCAGACTCGGATCCAATACATTCCAAATAATTTCATATAACAATAAAATGCTGTTAAATAAAGAACTGTTATCAGAGGCAATTAATTTGGCAAGCATTTGTTTACGTTCCAAATAAAAAAAAAATCTTTGCAGCACATGCTATATCTTGAGATATCAAACAGAATGTGTGTGAACTGTCGCTTGTGATATATATTCATCTAAGATCATGGTGGGAAAATGTCACATTTTCTATTTCCATTCTTTCTGCTCAAGCGTTGACCTTACTGACTTAGCGAATAAAAAGTATTTTTATTTTCAAACTTCAGCTTTAGAAATCTAAATTAATTAGTAAACGATCTGGTTTTCATTTATCTGCCTTGTTTTATTTTTACAGACAAACGTTCAGAGTCAGAACTTTTGAATATACTAGTTTTTCGCCCCTTATTAACAAACAGGAAAGTCCTATAATCTTTTATTCCAGATGTCGGTAATAACATATTCACTTTATTTCCAGACAAAACGTAGCACATATTTTAAAATAAGAAATAATATAAATCATCAAGTGAAGAAGACCACATATCTAGCACTAATAATAATAATTGTTATTAATTATTATTATTAGTGCTAGATATGTGGTATAATAATAATAATAATAATAATAATAATAATAATAATAAATTCCTGTTACTCATTTCCGTTTCCCCTTCACAACTTCGTGACGTCACTCACGGGCGGGTTTTTGATGGAAAGCGCTAGAACAAACGAAGCACACCCTCCGTGTTTCGAAATATCCATCCATCACATTAAAAAGATCTGTGTTCTTTGTCAAATTACACAGTAAGCAATGGCGTACTCTGAATTTAGACTTTGTGACCTCTTTTGTCATATGCAGATTGCTTTGCAGTTCTATTTTAAGACATAATCTTTAATGTCCAGAAATGTCGTCTCTTTTAATGTTTAGCTGTTCCTCAAACTGCCACATGATGGAGATAATTGCACGCCGAGATGAGAAGATTTAATTTACTGAATTATTAAAGCACAATTTGTTTATTAGAACGTTTGGAGGTTTGGTTGTTAATGAGTGTGTTTTTGTTGTTGTTCGTACTTCAGCAGTATAATTTCACTACAGCTAACTGAACTCACTCAACTCATTGTAAATTATATAGTTAAAAATATTAATAATGTAAATTTTCATCATTTTAAAATCCCAGTTTATCTTACTTTAAGTATAAAGTAAATTTAATTCCATTTCCAGCTGTATTTACATTTGCCATTACTTGAAAGCCTGGCTGCAGTAAAAGAGGTGCCGCGGATGGATACACTGGAACCCACGTGTATAAAGACTCCCTGTGCTGTAACATAAAGTTCCTTTCCTTTTTCTCCCATCAGTGAGCGCAGGGGACTACGCTTTTGTTGCATTTTATTCAAGAAAATTCAACTAAATTAACAAGGTACGCACACCAGTGTTTCCGAATTTTAACGCAGACAATATATATGTAAATATTTTTTAAACTATCTATGTAGTTTTGTAGTAATACATCGCTGATTAAGAGTTCATGAGTCATGTCAACCGTTAAACGCAGTTTTTCGTTGGAAGCCGCTATAGGCCTTCATATGAGCTAACTGAATACCCATGAAGTTGAAGATCGATGTTTAATTCGCTTATACTCGTATTTGTCCTGTAAACATGCAGTCTGTTGAGCGGTGATGCTGGGCAACGTGAATGCGGCACTGCTGCACTGTGATGTCAGGCAGGTGGGGTGGAGGTTACGTCTCTGAATTAATGGACTTCAGTGGGCTTGCAGTTAAAACTATTAACGGTCACAATGTCTGGATGTGGTCACAAAACTGGGAAGGGGGAGATTTTACGTTAAATTTATTAATACGAAAATTTCAGTTACGAGGCACACGTAAATTTCAGTTATGTAATCGAAGAATACGTTTTGAACACAGAGCGTGATTCAAGCTTAAACTACACTACGGTTTTCTTAAATTTTAAATTACTTTAATAGCTAGTGGACAAATGAGGTGATTGAAGACTCGACGTAGATTTTGTGCTGGAAACTTATCAAACGTTGAGCGTACCAACGGTTTTTGAAACGGCCGTTTATCAAACTGTCGATTGTTACGCCAACCGTTGGGATTTGGGAGCTCTTGCTGTCCGAGTTGATGGGTCCCGATTTTAGTCATTATGTTTATGGAGTTGCGTTGGGTTGTTTCAGGCAGTCCCGACTCCGTTTCTACAGTAAAGTGTAATAACTTTGCCGTTTTGCAGCTCCTAAGCACGTGTTTTCGGTTTCATTGTCTAGGCACAGACGCCATGTTTGTTAATGGACACTTCCGCTAATGTGTAGTAACTAATGCTGGAAACGGTCCCAACTTAATAAAGTTGGGACGGTTATAAAAAACGCACTATAATCTGCGATCGGCTGTACTTATCTTTTCCTTCAAGAATTTGATGTGCCATGTTAAGGATGATAGACCATGTAGTTTTATAAATTTAGTTTTAGCTTTAAAGTTTCAAATTGAATAAATTCAATATGGTATGATTTGGGAGGAATCATGTGGTTATCCATCCTTACTGTTAAACGTTCCTAAACCATTAGGTATTCCAAATGTTCACACCTTTAAAATATACACTTTTTATATAAATTTGGTCTTGTGGAATACATTGTTTTGCTTTTTTGTTTTTCTTCAAAGTTCATTTTTGATCTGATTTTGAAACAGTTGTAGACTTTAAGCACATAATCGGTGCATAATTAAGCTGTTCTACATCATAGAATTTTAAAGGTGGAAATTTATTGACTTTCTTAGGAGTATTGTCTTCTGAAGCACCTAAAAGTAGTTGATCTTATTTTTCTACTCCAAAAAAATTGAGTTTCGTAGAATTACTTGTTGCCTCAGCATAACTGTGGTGGTATTGAAGAGCAGCAAAGGGCTTAAAGTTTGTTGATACAAATTTGCATTTTACTTTGTATATCTGAGGCCCTGAATACAATTCTGTCTGACTCCCAAAAATCTGTTCAATTTGAATCTTCCAGTAAGAAGTCTTGTTTTTCATCCTAACTTACTGTTGACAGTTTGCTCCATCCTCACTGTACTCCGGTCCTGTTCTAGATATATTGCAATCATTAATAAAGATTGTTCATTAATCCCTCCCCCCCAGTCACTTATGCATGATTAATCATGAATTTTATCACCCAACTCAGATACTTGTGGTACATCACTAGTAACCTTCACTAAATCAGAGTCTATTTGCAATTATTTGAATTTCTCACATCTCAATATTCTGTGCAGATGCCTGAAGAAATGCACCAAGAGGAGGAGGTTGAGACCTTTGCCTTCCAGGCAGAGATTGCTCAGCTGATGTCCCTGATCATCAACACCTTCTATTCCAACAAAGAGATCTTCCTCAGGGAGTTGATCTCTAACTCATCTGATGTAAGTGAGCAAGTCTTCTGTTCTCACTGTACAACCTTGAGTGAGAGTACCAGCTTTTTAGGTCAGTGAATGTGCAGTATACACACCTTGCATAACAAATCTAACTTTTCTGCATCCGCAGGCTCTGGACAAAATCCGCTATGAAAGCTTGACCGACCCGACAAAGCTGGACAGCGGCAAGGATCTGAAAATCGACATCATCCCAAACAAAGCGGATCGAACCCTGACCCTGGTCGACACTGGAATTGGTATGACCAAGGCCGACCTCATTAACAACCTGGGAACGATCGCAAAGTCAGGAACAAAGGCCTTCATGGAGGCCCTGCAGGTACTCAAACAAAGCCTAGCTGTTAAATTTTATTTAAAACCTGATGGGTGTAAATGATATAACTAATGCTGAATTTTTATTTGCTTTTTCCTAGGCTGGTGCTGACATCTCCATGATCGGACAGTTTGGTGTGGGTTTCTACTCTGCCTATCTTGTTGCTGAGAAAGTGGTCGTCATTACAAAGCACAATGATGATGAGCAGTATGCCTGGGAGTCGTCTGCTGGAGGTTCCTTCACAGTCAAGGTTGACAACGGTGTGTGTCCTGAGGTTTTGTAGTCTTAAAATCTGCAGATGCTTTTTTGTTTCCCCCCTCTTAATAAATATGTGCTTTTCCAGGTGAGCCCATTGGCCGTGGAACAAAGATCATCCTGTACCTGAAGGAGGACCAGACCGAGTACATCGAAGAAAAGAGGGTCAAGGAGATCGTCAAGAAGCACTCTCAGTTCATCGGCTACCCCATCACCCTGTTTGTAAGCGCTGAAAGTGCTCCCCTCTGATTGGTGGAAACTGTTAATTGGCAAACGTTTTAAACCGACTTTGCATATTGCAGGTGGAGAAGGAACGTGACAAGGAGATCAGCGACGACGAGGCAGAGGAGGAAAAAGCCGAGAAGGAGGAGAAGGAAGAAGGCGAGGACAAGCCCAAGATCGAGGACGTAGGGTCAGATGATGAAGAGGATTCCAAAGACAAGGACAAGAAGAAGAAAAAGAAGATCAAGGAGAAGTACATAGATCAGGAGGAGCTGAACAAGACCAAACCCATCTGGACCAGAAACCCTGACGACATCACAAATGAGGAATACGGCGAGTTCTACAAGAGTCTGACCAACGACTGGGAGGATCATCTGGCCGTCAAGGTATGTAGAACCTCTTGAAGATGGCAGACTCTGAATCAGAGACTAAATTGGAGT